GAGAGAGAGAGAGAGAGAGAGAGAGAGAGATTATATAATTGAATACAATGAAAGAGAATATTGTATTTAATAAGCGGTTTTAACTAATTGTGTCCAAACATCTATGTAATAGCGAAACACAAAAAAATGTTTAGCATTTTGTTTTTGATTGATATCCGAATGAAAATTCATTTTACGATTAATAATAAAAATCTAATATTTTTCAAAAGATTGCGAAAAGAGACTAACTTTTGTATCAATGAATGGGAAGAGAAATATTGTAGTTTTTGTGTGAAAAAAACACTTTTCAAAACATTTGATAAATGGATTGACTATTTTTTATGAATAGAAAACAAATTAAATTCCTGTAAGTTTCTACTTTGGTTTAATCTAAAACTTTTATTACAAATACATTTAAAATGTTATCTCAAATGGGATTACAAATCAAGTAATTTTCACTTTTAAAAACATACATTTCTCTTACAATTCACTCTCGATATTAAAATGCATACAAAATTATCAAAAATCTAAATCTAGATTATTTTTAGTAGAAAATTTTTACTATCACTTATAAAACTCAACAAATAAACCAAAATCTATAAAAATGACAAATAATTAATAAAAATATTTAATTTATTCAATAGTAATACTGTGTCGACGACTACTCTGAGGACCGATTGGACGGGTAGTCGTAGTGATGAGCTAATGATGAAGCGATCGCCCGATTTAAAAATGACAAATAATTAATAAAAATATTTAATTTATTCAATAGTAATACTGTGTCGACGACTACTCTGAGGACCGATTGGACGGGTAGTCGTAGTGATGAGCTAATGATGAAGCGATCGCCCGATGATTGCGAACAGACGTCAAACAAATGCCAATCAAATTGTGATTCAAATACTAATAGTACGGCTGAAGTGCAACAAAAGGATCTCGTTTATGTCAATATATACATACCTGAACTACAGACTGAGGTTAGTTTACCGTTATTATTACCATTCACGACCTCTAATTATATTATTATCATAATTAAATAATTACTTCATAACAATTTGACATTGAATTCAGTTCCCTATCATAAATAAAATAGATCAAAACAATTACCACAATAATTGTCATAGTTAAATAACTAAATTAACTCGCCTAATTACAATAACCCCACATTAATTTGCATTATCAATAATTAGGGTATAGTTAGCCTAATCAAACAAGCTTAATTTCTATAAATGATAACAACTATATTATAATAACAGTAACAGTACTACTAATAACAGTAAATTATAAATTATCATGATAACAACAGTAATGAATGTATAAAATTGCACATGTAACTTATAATTAACTATCCATATTTAGCAAACTGTGGTAATCAGTAAATACGAGTCGATATGGACGCTGAAGAGGGGTCTGATCGAGAGGTGCAATAATAGCCTGAAATACTGTGATCTAAACTATGGCTTCTTCTGCACATCGTTTGGTCACTTTCTCGACGAAGAACTCAATCTAAACGCCTATTTCTCCGATTGAAGAGGGGTCTGATCGAGAGGTGCAATAATAGCCTGAAATACTGTGATCTAAACTATGGCTTCTTCTGCACATCGTTTGGTCACTTTCTCGACGAAGAACTCAATCTAAACGCCTATTTCTCCGAAGCCATACAGAAGTGCTGTAATCGTATTCGTCTCGAACTCCTCTATAAGCAACGGATCAAAGTCGGCGAAGTCATGAACACATTACCCGCAGGTATGGCCACCCGAACCACAACATACCATACCTAACACAACATACAGTACACATTCATGTGTGTGTGTTTTGATATAGTTTAAACACACGCAAACATACCCCACCCCTCCCCTTCACCCTTGCATCCAATATACAGTTATAACGCTATATATATTGTGGGAAATTCTGGTAAACAAATTATAAGGAAGCGAAAAAAAACCTCGAGATGAAAATTCTTTTGCCCACAGAATATACAGTTTATATACGAAAACAGAAAAATATAATTTATATTATAATTAGACGAAAAACATAGTAGCGTTGTGTAAATTAATACCGTATATTGTATTAATACAATGTACCGTATATTGGGCTTTGAGTGGCCGGGAATGGGAGGACTATAACCAGACAGTGATTGTTATAAAAGACTTCAACACAATATGATAGATCAATAAGTTATTTAATGCATTAATATTTTATATAAGTTATTATGATTTATCAGTGTTTGCGATCTTACATAACAAGTGACAGTCTTATTATTATTATTATTTGGTATACCTTTTTGGTATAGCAATTATATAACACATTTTATGGCAAACAATAAGCTATTAAGTAATAAACAGTTGTCTAGGGCGATTAAAATACAAATCCAGAACACATGAGCACTCTATTATACAATTACAATGTACATTAATGAATTAATGGACAGTTATCTACTTAAATATAATAAAAGTATCATGTATTACAAATTATCATTTACAAAATGCACATTTAATTGTAATTACAATTTATTTTTGGTCAGTAATTAATCGATAGATATAAATCAAAACAATATTATTAACCTCTCTCCACATAAATTCTCATTTGAGATACTGATCGCCAATTTATACATTATATTTAATTTATTGTTTAGGAAATAATCAAAATTTTAATTACAACAACACATTTACATTATTGTTATTTTACCGGTTTAATAAATTGTAGACATACAGCATATTTATAGATCTGAGCAAAACAATTAACATAAAGTTAATTTAGGAAAATGTAATTTTGCAACTTTTTAACCAAATTATTAAATGAAAAAACATTACATTTAATTGGGAGTGAATGTGAATAAACACGACGACTGCCCGTAAAGGGCCACACATTTAATGCAAACACTTTTCCTTATAAATGCATATTTTGTTATTAGTTTTTCATTCATTTTCAATCGCTTTTAATTATATTTAACTGATATTTGTGTTGCGATAACCTCTCAAAGAAAAGTAATATTCATTTCAAATCTACAGTAAAAACATATAAATTCAACACAAAATACATACAAATATTAAATGTGCGGCCAATCAATCACTTTGGTTTACCTCATCGCTAATGTAGTGTAAAATATGTAATAAAAATACAAATTTTTTGCTACCATTTAATCGGAAGAAATTAAAAATAAGATCAAAGATATAGTAATAATATTTTTTCCTATCATTTATTTCCATCGAGATATTTGTTATACCCATTGAGTGAAATGTTGTTATCAGTAATAGATGTGGAAATTGATTAGATTTTTGTGCATTAACTTTAACTTTAATTCATATTAATTATAATTCGTGACCAATATATCAATTTGTGATTTGGATTTGATTTTTTGCTCACAAATTTTGTTTTTCGCTGTAATTATAATAAAATTACAATTAATTACACGTTTCTCTCGATCTCTGTGTATATTAGGGCTAGAAAATAGCCGGTAGTCGTCGATCCCCACCAGTAATAATCAAATGCATACCTGAGCCGCACATTAATTAATTAGTGGGAAGACCTGTATATACTGTATGTAATATTATTAATGTTATGCCACATCTCGGTATCAAATATATGAGGGCAAAAAATATATATATGCACATTTTTAAATAAATGTTACATAAGTTATATTAAACCGACAAAGAATGGTTTTACATTTACTATTAACGAGTGCAATTTATATAACAGTTGTAGCCCATTATAAGCTACCGTGAAATGCAATTATGACAGAAAAGCCAATTGTCTTATCAATCATGATAAAAATTATACTTTCTGCCAAAAAATACATTTAAATTTTTGAAATATTTCTTTACTTTTCGCAAAAAAATATTACATTTGTTAATTGAAAAATGTTTTCATAAAAAACTAAAATCTCATTTCAATCTCCAAACTGATGACTGATAGCGAGCACAACCTCACGACGGAAGAAGAGGTCCCGTTTGGTGACAGCCGTCACGAATTGTAACGTTGAAAAAGTGGCCAAAATTTTGGTCAATTGCGACCCAAACTTTGTGGACGAGACCACCGGTGAAACCCCATTGAGTGTAGTGTCCGCCAGTCAGTCGGCCACCAATTCAGCCGTTCAGCGGGTGATCGTCGCACTCGTCAACGGCGGAGCGCTACTCGACTTCCGCACCAAAGAGGGTAAGACTGCCCTTCACTGCGCGGTCCAGAAGTCTAATTACGTGGCCCTCAAGACACTACTCGACTTAGGTATGCGACTCACCATTCAATACACCCTATTATTACATTAATTAATAAAGCATTGATTTGAAGTTAAATAACTTTTTGTTTCGAAAGCGGAGAACCTCCTGAAAGTTTGGGGGCATACCATACACCATCTTAGGAGTATTTTGGAAGTTAGGTGACAAAAACCAGTCTTAAAGTCACTATAAAAGTTACTTAAAAATGGCTGAAAAGTTGCTAAAAAGGTGGTAAAAAGGTGCTAAAAAGGTGATAAAAAATTATGAAAAAGTTAGTTATTTTGCATCAAAATAATCCATTCAAAGGTCAATAACATTTATTTTAAATTTAATTGTAGCACAAAGTATTTTGTGAGGTTTTCAATTTCAAAAGTCATTTGTCTGTCATTTAACAACTGTTTATAAGTCGAAAAACGTTTAATGACTAAAAAACATAGCTTGTTATGACTAAAAACTATGATTTAAAAATTTTAATATTACATTACACCTGTTTTCAATTTTGACTCATTGAGTATTTTGTGATTTATCCATTAATGACGTATAAAATTTGCAACATAGGCGAAAAGTTACTAAAAAGTTACTAAAGGTGAGAACGTCCCAAAAGGTGCTAAAAAGGTGAAATAAAAATCTTCCAAAATACTCCTAAGATGGTGTATGGTATGCCCCCAAACTTTCAGGAGGTTCTCCGCTTTCGAAACAAAAAGTTATTTAACTTCAAATCAATGCTTTATTAATTAATATCTTTAAGAAAAGTCATTTATTAAATTATTACTCGATTTCGAAATAGATTTTTATTATTGTTTATTTTAACGCTTAATTTTTAATTACATTTTTAATTAAATATACATAAATATAATTATATGTAATGTTAACCAAACGGAACCACACATTACTGACCAGCAAATTATTTTTGTATATCTATTGTGACGATAGGCGCGTCGCCCAACTATAAGGACGCCGTAGGTCTGACCCC